TTTGCCAACAATCTTGACTTCTACGCCGCATGGCTTATCCTCTTTGATTTGCTCCCCTACTTTGATTGACTCTCGCCTATGCATACCTGTCCCAAACAACATCAACTCTAATGTAGTCTGTTCGATTCAGAATTGAAGTGAAGTTGTCCCAATGCATATCAGCCAAGTCTCCAAATCTGGAAGCAGTTCCCTTTCTGAACATTTGCAATTTTGCCATTCCATCAACTATATGAACTGGCAACATTCTCGCTTCTGCTAGTATAAGCAGCTTAAGGACCAAAAACTTCCTTTTCATGTTCAATTAACAAACCGCTTTTGATGTTCTTTCTTAATTTTTCCATCTGAATGAGCCATTGTAAAATGAACACTAGAAATGTCCATGTTCACATCAAGGCTGATGACAAATCCATTCAATCTTCCAAATAAATTATGTCTGTGAACATTGAAAGTGAAGTTGTTGTCCCAAAGGATATGATTCACAGCCTCTTGCATGTTAAACAGATTGGGGCAGAGCAAAGGGATAACTTCATAAGTAGTCGATTGAACTCTTCCAGGACAAACTTGTGGTCACCTTTACATCGACTGAACCTGAAAACCTATTCTACATTGATTCCCAAAAAGGCTGTAAAGCCCAGGGGTGAGAAGCTTCACACAACAAATGGATGACAAGTTGGATGTTCAAGAAACACTCATTACATCTTGTGGCCAGATTGTGAGTTCTATACATGTACCAAAAAAATCCAGTGATTATATGTCTGTAGATGACACAAGATACTCAATGGAAACCTCCTACCAACATCCAACAATCTAAAACATCACACTGAACGAGTAAACTACCAAGTCCATGTTTGGAAACAGTCTCTGCAACCAATCATGAACATTCCTTCACCAGTTGACCATGCTTGGAGCATTTGTGATGGTCAGCTTATCCCTATTCTATGTGTTGAGATCCTGCTCCCCGTGGATTGGTTGAACTGACATCGTGTAAATGCAAAAGGTCAGCATGCCAGCAGAAAGAATGATATAGTGTGTACAGAGGCATGTTCATTTGTATGGCAGATGATTGTTGCCCGAACATCTTCGACTTGTTGCCAGTAGATGACTCCGATTCTGACATGAGTGAGTTTAGTTTCACACCGCACTAAGCAATAGTCCAACTATATGGCGGCAGTCTGTGAATAATCGTGTCTGGACCAGACAATCCAGGGATCAACAGCATGAACATCAATCTGCGCAATTGGGATACGATGACATGTGTCAACCCAGTCAGCGAGCCTGACCACCCGATCCCGTTAGTCACCTCCAACGACAAGCATGGGTTATTGAAGATCAATTCTAACCCGGATCTTTACAGGTCCGATTCTGACATGAAGTAACATATGAAATGAAAGAAAGTGAAAAGGAGGGTTAATTGCAAGCTTATGGATGCATCAAATGTGATTAAGAGTTATCTGATAGAACAATTTGAATACATACAACCAAAGCTTAAACGTAGTTATCGGTCATGAAGCATAGTTTTCAAACACTTCTGGATAATGTTATTTCATCAAATATTTTAGGAGTGTGAAGCTTTGATTGACAATATCATTGAAATTTAGCTCTATTCCTAAACTGTATTAAACATTAGACACCAAATGAGTTGTTTGGATTTCATATCAGTACAAATTTAGTCCTCCACTAAGTATATGAAGTTAAACTACAATGGCGGCCATTTAGGCGGCCATTTTGAATTCTGGGTAATATATAAAAATTCCTAATAATATGCTGTCACTCTAGAAGTAAAGAGAAAACAAAAAACAACTTGTTTTAGTAACAAAAATAATGTTAACTACCATTAAATAAATCACCATCACACATTTCCATGAAAAGTCGGAGAATCGCTAAAATACCCCTGTCTCAAAGAATAAGCTGTAAAACATTCAATTAACACGATATTATCATACAAAATAACTTGTTTTGTGCCCAAGTCATCACTCTAGGAGAAACAAGTGTCAAAAAACATCAAAAGTATCAACTTTGGATGTAAATGGAAACATTCGGTGTTCATTTTTATGTAAATTTAAGTACCGAGAAGGCAAAACATATTTACAAAACAAAATGGCGGGCCAAAATGGCGGCCATTTTGATTTTTTTTTCAAAACAAAATTATGTCAAATAATTTCTACATCCTTTAGCAGTACACAGAAGTCAAAATGAAAGGGGTCAGATTAATAGTAAAAAAACTATTAATGATTAACTTTTATGTGTTGTCGGACAGCAAACCAAATGTGACGAAAATGCTCGGAGACCCCCACCTCATATAATGGCCTGTAAAAAAAAACTGATACCACAATCTGAGAGTATTACAGGCCTTTTCATGAGCCCAAGACATCATACTAACTGAAAATAGTCTCAAACCAAATCAGTACTGGGGAGGCTACGAAATCCTATTTCTAGGCACCTTTTGAGATTCTCCTCCTGGACTACATTGTCAGTTGAGACAGCAGACAAGACAGCTGTTTTTATGACATCCACGTGTTTTTTAAAAAACGATTTAGTAAACAATGAGAAATCAATCAACGTTTTATCAGCAAAATGATCCCTTTTCGTAATAGCAGGGGAAAATGGGATTTAGTTTACATCCTCAAATAGATCTTAAAATTTATTTTGAATAATATATTGTCACTGAAATGACATAGTTACATAACATGATTAGGCAAAAAAATATATATGTCTGTTTCCTATTACACGCTTTTTAAAAGTAGGATAGGTGGGTCGGTTTTATCCTTTTTTTAGCAGTACCACGGGGCACCTGAGAATGTCTTCAAGGATACCATATCATGTTGTCACAATGTCTTGTGATGAAATATTGATAGATTTCTATATCAAATCATTATTTATGTTATTTATTTGCAGGTTTTGTCAGTGAGAGCCCATTATGCCAATTCAATGCAATCCATTTTAGCCTTACATACACTGAAAAACATGAAAATATCATACTCGATTTGGAAGAAAATGATGAGTTGAAATGCACTCCAGTCATGATTTTGACTTGGTTGAAAAAAGATTTAGGACATATTTGGGGGGGGGGAGGGGCTTATCATGCTGTTGGTCAGTACAGCGGCTCATTGTGCTGGTTTTCTCAAATAAAGTACTGATCAATGAGTGAGTGAGTTTAGTTTTACCCGCACTCAGCAATATTCCAGCTATATGGTGGTGGTCTGTAAATAACATCATGAGCATCGATCTGCGCAATTGGGAATCGATGACATGTGTCAACCAAGTCAGCGAGCCTGACCACCCAATCCCGTTAGTCGCCTCTTACGACAAGCATGGGTTACTGAAGATCAATATTCTAACCCGGACCTTCACGGGTAGTACATGATCAGAGTTGAGAAAGACTGGTAGTTAAAGCTACACGAATTCACTCTTCATTGTCGCTCTCTGCTGTTTCCTCTGATGGCTGAACTACATTGACTGTTGTATCAGCTACACATTTCCTAATTGACCATAAAATATTTCAGTTACATCGTTTACTTCAAAAGTTTATAACTTTCCAATATAACTGTTTGTCCTCATGCTTTGTACGATACCCCCTTTGGAAGTTTATGTACAGTATATTTTCTCCACTAGTTTATCAGAGTAAACATATTAGTGTAAAGTGATGAAATTTACAATTTGCACCATTTTCTTACAAATAATACTATTAATCTCAATCTGCATACTTAGTCTGTAATGTATATCCTCATTGTCTGCACGTAGAGCTGTATTTGATTCATGAGGAAAGTGTTGGTCAAACAGTAGAGTAAACCTTGTTTGTTTTTAGTAACCAGATACATTCAATGGGTACAAGAATTAGATTAGCCAAAGATTAGTGACACTATGCCATTAGTAACAAACATGTCCATCTATTCCACAAGGCCTCATATTGCAAGTACAGGTTGCAGAAGACCAGTTTAAACTCAGAATCCACTCAAGTGAGTTGTGCTTTGAACAACATTCAAGTTCTAAGACGGCATGTCTCATACGGGAGAATAGCCCTGGGTAGTCTGGAACACTTTACCGGTAAGACTTCCGCCCGTATCCCCCCAATATTTTAACAATGAGGAAAATTTTCTTTGAGTGGCATTTTTAGAAGTAGAATATGTCTTTCGGTATGTTCAGATACAATTAAAGAAATATGTTAAAACTCATCCTTATCAGATGAGGAGTATATATTCAGGTGATATAAGTTGACAAGAATGAAATTTAAGGGGGGATACGTGAGGAAGTCTTTCCGGAAAATGTCAGGTCATTTGTTTCTTAAGTGGTCAATGCACGTGTCCTCTGTCAATCTGATGCACTGAAAGGTGGGGCCGAAGTAAGTAAGCGGATTACCTTATTACATCAGGCAGTACATCTGTAGACATATATTTCCATACCATTTTATCAATGTACCATTTTTTTTCTATTTTACAAAAGGTTAGTTACATAGTGTATAGTGCTAGATATTTAAAGTAACACGTGACACAGAAAAATCTTCATTTCATGAGTTGGTCTGAAATCTCACACCAGGGGCAGACAACTCTTTGGCCACGTTTAGATTTAAATAACAGCAACGAAATATCTAAAATATTATCAAATAAACAATAACATCTATCACCTTTCGTGTAGAAAGAAAATGTTAGAAATAAGCTGTTGATATTGGCCTTACGAAGGTCCAACATAACGCGCACCTGCACCTATACCCTAGTATATTGTCTGAAGTTCCTAAAAATCCACACGTCCAATTCGCGTTATTTTTCAAGAAATGAATTGAACATGTGTCAGGAAAACGGTTTTATCGTCAAAGGGACAAGATGTTAAGGATAATAATGACTGCAGTTCAAATATCAAGTGCGGTCCGTTTAAAAAGCACAGACTTGATATCAGTGAAGATTGAGCCGTGGAGGAGGCGTGTAGTTGTCCTCCAGATATTTCTGAAAAAGCATATCAATGGACATGTTTTCTATGGCATAACAAACTTCAGCACTTTTACTCACTCAGAGAAGCGGACATGTTGCTTATTGCTCTTCAATCTGACAGCAGGTATATGGTATATCACAAACTTTAACTCTCTTCCGTGTTTTCGACCGGTGTGCTCCCGGAAGTGAGTCAAAAGCGTTCGAACGATGTATGCGCATGCTCAGCGTACGGCTTTACCATATATGGTTGTCGCCCAGGTGAGCGCGCCATTTCAGATCAAATATTGTCCCTGTTAGGATATATTTATTTTTAATGTTGATCACGTTGTTGTGATTGCACACAGCTGATCACAGGTTTCCATTCTGTCCTTGATTAATCTGTCGGCTGAGGAGATCGTCGAAGAATGCCTTAGGGTCGCTAAATAAAGTTTATTCAGCTCCGCTGGAATTGAGCTTATGGCGACGTAAAATGCCTGAAATCGTCCAAGCTTACAAGGCATAATGTGGTCGGAATTCGTATTAAATGCTATGTTTATCAATCTTCTTTTATTTCGGTTCAGTTTGTTGAAATATTTACCAATCTTAAACAAATTACACATCGTCAAAATATGACCATATTTTATAATAATAGATCTATATTTATTTCAGAAACAATTAGTTCAGTCGATCAATGAAAGAAAGATGGTTTCATCATTGATTAGTTAGGCCGTGCAAGGATACTCTACAACCTTATATAGTCTCCCTGGTCCGTGTTAGGCATAGTTGAAATATTGGCATGTGACGAATTCCTGTGTAAAGTTATATGACTTTCACAATGGCCTATTACATACATAGCTATAAATGGCAATGATGGATCAACCGAGTATTGATGGGGGTGGGTAGGGGAGGGAGGTCACATGCGTCAAGATTCGCAGCATATGGGTTAGCCCCAAATGTGACTTCAATTTATCCTGAAAGTGAGTGATATAGCCAAAACATAGAGACCCAAACCCAACACGCTTACTGAACATGTGAAATCTTTATACGAAATTAGTTCAAAAGAGAGAAACAATTGGGGCAGGCTTGCCGTTCAGCAAAGGTATTAAATATCTATTTATACTCTATTCACGCAGATTGTACAACAGTGTTTGTAAGAAATGATCTAACCAGTAGAAGGCACGCACCTAACAACCCAATGAATTCCCGTTCGCATATGAAATTATATAGAATTCAATCGAACCCGGTCATGATCAACCCATACCCACAAACCCATCAGCTGCTGAAGATCAGAGAGAACACACGAAACACTATATACGCTCTTCACCGAAAGATATTACCTGTGGAGACAAACATACAATTTGTAGTTCTAATACTTAGCAAACATGTGTGAAGGGCAAGGTGTAAATGGGCCCTGTTGTCCGAACACCTATTAAACTTTTAATTATCTATCTATCTGTAGTTCTAATATTGTTTTGTCAAATAGTAATTACGTGAGTGAGTATGGTTTTACGCTGCTTTTAGCAATATTCATGCAATATCACGGCGGGGAACACCAGAAATGAGCTTCCCACATTGTGCCCATGTGGGGAATCGAACTCGGGTCTTCGGCGTGACAAGCGAACGCTTTTACCACTAGGCTACCCCACCGCCCGTTTTGTCAAATACGTTATTCGAAGTTTTAATTTTCTTAATAATAATCAACAACAATTATGTCTGTTGTATTGGATGGATATGTTCATGGTACAGAGAATAATCGCATACACACATGAATACACTCACGCAATCACTCACTTATGCAATCAATCAATCAATCAATCAATCACATGATCAATCATTTGTACACACACACGTTATGTTTATAGTTTTAAACAGGACTTGAATATATAAAGAATCCAGTACAGCCTTGCGCCAAGGTACTGAATGCTAAGCCCATAGATGTATGGTAATTCTATCTATTAGAGAGGCAAATCTAGATAAAGGGACAGTCTAAGGACGCCAGTCTGTTATTTTTTTTTATTTATTTTTTTTTAGAAATGATCGTTTAAACTATTAATTATTACCTCAGAGACTTGTGCAAGTCGGTGTAATAAAGAGAGTTAGATAAAGGGACAGTCTCAGGACGCCAGTCTGTTAATATTTTCTTTTAGAAATTATCATTTAAACTATTAATTATTACCTCAGAGACTTGTGCAAGTCGGGTGTAATACATTTCGAATATGTTTGGAGTAAATTCCTGTGTTCACTCAGACGCCAAATACCATGAAGCACTGACATACAGTGGAATACAATAGTTTGTTTTCTGTGTCAGCGAAGTCACGCGATTTAGGCATACCAAAACAAGCGTCAGTCAGTACGCGTCCTTATATGGAGCAATAATGTTCAGGACAGAGTAATTCGCCTTGTGGCGTCCAATTAAATCATTTGCTTTTGTTATGTAAGTGTATTATGCCAGATCTGCGGGTATATAAACTTATTATTGTGGGTATTATAGACTATTATAAGTAATTAAAGGACTAGACCTAAGTTAGATTAGATAAGCCAATATTTGCAGCTATGAACGTTGTAGAAAAGGCATCTCTACAACAACAACAAAAAGTCAAGACTTTATGGTACGTCAGGCTGACCAGATAATGGCGGGATGGAGGGCACCGTGTTCTTTGGCTCCCAGTCGTTGCGTTCATGGATTTGAAATTGAAGTAAAAGGTTAAAAATGAGGACTGTTTGTGACCGTTAGTCTGTCTCACAGTCCCTGGACCACATTATTTTCCATACTTCCTCGCCCTCCCAGCAAAGCCCTAAATAAAGCAAGTCTAGATGTCATCATGTTCAAACTCCCAACTCACCGGGGCTCCTTTTTAATGGGTTATTTGTTACCATCAAAATTATATATATATTCAGGGACAAAGCGTTAATCTCTCTCTTACTCTCTCCCTCTCTCTCTCTCTCTGTGTTGGATATCCTGTGACCTGTATGTGTTGGTTAACGCATCTTTGTGTTTCGGTCACCTAGCAACATTGTTCACCCTATATATAAATATTGACACGGCCCACAAGTGATTCATTGGCGGATTTGAAAATGACTTAAGACCACATTGAAGATTGTTTTTGCGTTGGCGGATCAGGGGGGACACTGTGTCTTCCACAGAAACGTTTGCTCTTCAAAACACTCAGGTCATTTATTAATCTCACAAACTTATCATTCCAGATTTTCATAAAACACCGGAAAAGGGCTAACCAATATATTTCAAATAGAGCTCACAATTTAACATAATTATGTTTATAGTAACATGAGTAATGCGAGTGTCTTGGATTGTGCTTGGATTATTAGAACGTTTTTGAAGTCTTTCTTTTCAGAATGAATACAAGTGTTTCTTGAGTTTCTGTATTAAACTGAAATATTCATGAAATGTGGGTATATATAAACAGGGAGACCAAAGACTGCTGTAGATTATTCCTGATATAAATAGTGAAATCTGTTCAGTTTATATCATCATTTCTTCTGTAATGAGTATAAATACACGTACATACTTATCGAAGACTAATATCACACCCGATTCATATTGCATGAACACTTCCTTGAAGTAAAAGAATAATTAGCGTAGATTATGAGAAACGGGGATTTTTATGTTATATAGCTATGTTCATGTATTCTTTAATTCAATAATTGACGAAACATACCGCCTATGAACACATTGTCAGAATTTACATTTGACGGCCTGCATATTCAATTCGAATCTTTTTCTATGCTCTTTACACATGAACCCAAGTCTCTATTTTGGACACCTTAAAAAGGACCGATAACTCTCATGTGTAACTTCCGTTGTTCATAGGTGGCGCATTACGTCATGAAGTCAGAAAACTTTTCACTGGCGCGACGTTTGTAAATCGATTATGGAAGAAAATTGTCTTCACTATGTCAATTTTCAAGAAGTAGGTATACATAGGTTAATATGTGCCACTGCTTTATTTATTTTTAAAAACAGTTCTTTCCGTTTTCTGCACACTTATGATTTTGTTTCAGTTCTACGACTTTAGTTTTTAACAAAGTTTGGATTTTCTTCAAACTTCATCATGTTCATTGCATTCTTACGCAGAATGTCTAATGTCTTAATAATCCATTTTGAAATATTAAACCTTATTAAATGAATACCTCACAATTTCACCCAAAAAACAAACATTAAGGGTTCCTGTTCTGATTCAGTCATTCAATACAAGCTACAAAACGTATTTGGCCAACAGTTACAATGCTGTTTGTTTTGTGTTCATATAATGTTGTTCATCAACACTTTGTCATCAGTCACTTTAAACACCACAAGCCGTTGGTCTGCTGACTGAAGGCAATGACTGACTTATGATGACTAAGTTAGAAATGGAAATATTTCTGGGGTTTCCTGTTTGTACATTTGCAATTAACTACAGCAGTCTAACGGAAACCAGGTGTAGCAGAATTATCTTCAGTGTAGTAAACTAGATAGTAAACCGTATCCACTGAAATTGATGCTAATAGTTGAGCTAAGTTAGAACAACTTGTATAAATCTCATAGCCATACTGTTGTACTCCAGGAAAATTGTCAAGTCACTTGTGCAGGAGAGCATAAAATGACTGATTATGCATGCTTTCCCTTGATGGGCAAGAAGTCCATTTATCTAACTTTTTAAACAACATTCCATGTTTTTGTCTTGTTAACTAGTATGTTGACTAAACAATGAATATAGATCAAAGTAGGCAAATGACTTGTCATTTCCTAAGCATCTTTCTTTATTTTTTTCTGTTTATGTCTTCAAACCACCTGTCCTCTTAAGCATTGTTTTAAAGAAAAACATGTTAAGTAAATTTGTATTTTTGGTTTGACCACTGATCCTGTTTTACAAACCATGTGTTGCCAATGCACTGATAATAAACAGGTGGTAGAGCATTTAACAAGTCCTTGTTGTTATTACTTGCTATGAGCTCATCTTGATAAGACCAAATAAAAAAAATTGTTGTGGTTCCAATTACACCTCTTTAAAATATAGGGGAGGTAGGTAGGATTTTTGTTTAGAAGAAAAGCACAAACTAATAACACATTTATCAAGCTTTTGTCCATCATGTCGACTTTCTCTATCAGAATGACCGACGTCCGTTGGTGCCAGGAAAAACAATGGTATCTGAAAGCTTATTTTATTCATACCGCTTAAAAAAGATAGGGTCGACACCAGAATTCAAGGGTCCGTTGTCATCAGAACCACAACTATTTTTAGGCCTTATGTGGGTGGCTCACTGTTTTCATGGGTCAGTATGTTCTTGTAAGCAGCTGAGTCTCCAACTGTGATGTTTAATACTAGAGCTAAGTTAGAACAGCTTGTATACATCTCATTGCTATGCAGTTGTACTTGAGTCACTTGTGCAGGAGAGCATAAAATGAGTGATTTTTCAGGCTTTCCCTTTACATTTTTTCTCTGTATGTCTTCAAACCATCGGTACTGTTAAGCATTGTTTTAAAGAAAAGCATGGTAAGTAAATTGTATTTTAAGTAGGGCTGGAACGATTCACCGATGCATCGATGCATCACGATACGTTTAAGTTTGATACAGCTATTGTATCGTGGACTTGTGTATCGATACAAAACGATGCACAACTTTTTTTCAAAACAGTATTATCTTAAACATGTTACAGTACATATTTCAGGGGTTCAAAATTATTTTAAAAAGCTTCTTTCCACAGGGCAAGTGACTTTAAGAAAGTAACTTGTCCTGACTAATTTTCCACTTGCCCTGATTTTATGACATAATCATGATGATGTAATTATGAAAGAATATATCAACATGGTATTTGATGTTAATGTTTACTGGACTATTTGTTGAAAAGTGATAAATAGCAAAGAAATATAACTCTACTTTATTATCATTGCGAAATTTAATAGCTACATTTTGAGCAGATATGAAATTAAATCCAAGTTCATTTGCAGTTTGAAACCATAAGTGGAAATTTTTTAGTAGCCCACGGACAAGTAAGATTCCATTATTTGATTGCCCGAAATGCCCGGGCATCGGGCGATGGGATTTATTAACCCCTGATATTTAGAGGAAAATATGCAAGTATGATGGAGTTACTTGTTGGTTTATTACAATAGTGTTATTGTTAAACACAAATACCTTGAAATAAATCATTTTAAATCTTGATACTGTGTCATTCTTTCAAGGTGTATGTATCGTTATACATATCGTATCGCAGGTAAAATATCGTGATTTTGTATCATATCGTGACATAGTGTATCGTCCCAGCCCTAATTTTAAGTTAAACCACTGATTCTTTTTTGCAAACCATGTGTAATAAACAGGTAAAAGAGCCCTTATGTTATTACTTGCCATGAGCTAATTTTGATAATGTGGGTGGGTCACTGTTTTCATGGGTCATTATGTCCTTGTAAGTAGCTGAGCCTCCAACTGTGATGTTTACTGCTTAAGCCAGCAGCTGCATGTCTCATAAGCTGCAGAGGATAAACCTGACTATTATTCTGTACAGGACACATCATAGAGACTGCTTTATGTTAACTCAGTCAAGGTTGCATGCTGTGGAATGAGCTTAATTGACCATTCACTACCAAGCATAATTTGTGTCACTTTGATCTTATCAATGCGTTTCAGTAAAGAATCAAATCAATATCATTTTTTTATTTTGTGCTTTCATTTGATATACATGTAAAGGTTTGTGAAAATGATTCAGTTTTTGTACACCGTTTGAATTGTCAATATTCAAGCATACAACTTCATGGATAACAACTTCTTGTTTGGTCACAGAGAGACCTTTCGGTGTAGATCCTTACACCGTTTTCAAGTTGAAAGTGACTAGACTGACTGACTGACTGAGTTTGGTTTTATGCCGCTTCTAGCAATATTCCAGCAACATCACGGCAGGGGACACCAGAAATGGGCTTCACACATTGTACCCATGTGGGGATTCGAACCCGGGTCTTTGGCGTGACGAGCCAACGCTTTAACCATTAGGCTACACCACTGCCCCGAAAGTGACTAGAACCAAGTATTGAGAAGTATTATATCTACATAATGTGACACACATCGGATTACCATTGCCAACAGCATGTAATAGAATCTACACTGAAATGTCCTTCTGTGCAACAAGCAGGAAGTTGTTATCCATCAAGTTGTGTGCTTTATTTTTGACTCACCAACTGTTAGAATGATGATCAAACAAATAGTTTGAATTGTCACATGCAAACAAAGTCTGCCATTATTTTCAATGTTAATGTATGCATTCTGCTGAATGTGTATTCTGTTCTTTAGATTTGGGGTTAAATCAGATGCACAGTGTATGGTGCAGTTGTTAGTGGCAAGAATAGAGATAACAAACAACCAAACCCTGATAAATCCTGAAATTCTACCAGCCCTTAGGACATCTGTAACATTACACAAACTAGCTTGGGCTAGTGCCAAGTTGCATCCCTGATACCAGTACTCAAGGGTTTCATCAAATTAGTGTCTGATGTCTGCCTTACAAATTAGTGTCTGATGTCTGCCTTACATAACGTTTTATGTCACATCAAGCTGACATCAGGGATAGAAATACTTTTTTTTCTAAGTGTGCCTTAGGGCACCAGGCAAATATTTTAAATGTGCCTTTCAGAAATCAAGTGTGCCCACATGTAGCAAGGAAGATGATCATTTGAAATGTATTGCAGGGTTTGAAATACCCCATATATTAGCGTGCCATGGCACGGTAAATATTGAAATGGCGCGGATAAAAAATGTTCTCGGTGCCTTTATGGCACACCTAATTTTTAGAGACATAACTCACCTTTAGTCATTTAATCCCCAAAACAACAGACTTACTCAAATGACAAACAAACAAAAACATTTATTGACTTTATCGCCCAGGAAATCATTGGAATTATGATGGATGGTGTAAAGAAATCTGTTTGTTTTTCCATTTAGAGTGATGAGAGTACTGATAGTTCAGTTATTGAAGAGGAAATTGTGTATGTTAGAAATATTGAACAAGGGAACCTGTCACAAATGTCTTAGCTATTAAAGGTGTTGGGAAAGCAGAACAAATGAAGCTTAAGAAAGCCGTCTTAAACAGAAGACATATCAGTGATAACAGAAAACAGGTTACATTTGTTGTTTACTAACAATAAATTTCAAATGATCATCATCATTGCTACAGTTATTTATTCTAAAACATGTGGGCACACTTGATTTCTGAAAGGCACATCTAAAATATTTGTCTGGTGCCCTAAGGCACACATAGAATTTTTTTTATTTCTATCCCTGTATTGTTAGTAGACAACAAATGTAACCTGATTTCTGTTCGTAAACTCATGCCCATTTATATGTGTATACTGCAGTGCATAATTTATTCCTGTGTGAAGTATTTAATTTGTCGTAAAGTGCAGGTTAAATCTCCAAATCATCATCAATTTATTTCCAATATTCTCTCCAGATGTTCCATACACCATATTGTGCATCCCTAGAACACAGACATGTTTCTGTAGTTAAAAACATTCATTTTTTTTGTTTTTAACAGCAAAATACTTTCTACAGTTCCAAAAACAGCTTCTTAAGACAATCATTAGGCCAAGCTGCTGAGCAAAATACTGCACTTGTCACAATAGACACAACTTACTTGATTATATACTGTTAGCTACAGCGTTCTATATATAATAATCAATCAGATTTTAATATGAATATTTGGTTTATAACAAATTTTATTCGTATAAATAATGACAAGATTGGCAAAAAACGTAAAGGCTTATGTTAATGCCACTCCAACACAAAGCCATTGATTATATACATATATATTTTCATTAACATTGATTATATACATACATATTTTCATTAACATTGACTATATATACATATATATTTTCATTAACATTGATTATATACATATATATTTTCATTAACATTGATTATATACATATATATTTTCA